ATTGATTATTTGGCATTTGTAACAACTTATGTATAAAAGTTTGGGTTTATTGTTTATCACGTTATGAGAGATAAATTTATCTATTACAGATACATAAAAGTTGTGGGCTCATATTTTCTCTCTCTTTCTCTCTTCTTCTTATTGGGCTCATATGGGCCTACACACTTTTATGTATGTATAGGAAATAAAATTTATCTACTATAACATAAGAGTTATATTCTACGTGTATTAGCATATTTAATAGAAGTTATTATTTTAGGGGGATGCATTTTAAACCCACACTAATTAATTTCTTTCCTTTGGGATGCATTCACGTGTTCATCTCTCAAATAAATTTGTTATTACATTAATTAGTTAATTATTTGTTTATACAATAATTACATACATATAAATTCAATAATAAAAAATTTATATTATAATAAATTTCTAATATAATAATAATTACTGTATAACTCTGTTAAGAAATACCATATATAGTTTACCAAAAAAATATACCATATATATACTATTTCCATTATTTATTATACAGCTACTATATAAATCTCCCATCAGATAGGCATCATCTATCAAATAAAGAATAATATTAAATATAAATTTAATAAAATTATCTAGTAATTGTATTTATCAAAAATATTTATAATATCAATTGAATTTGTTATCCACCCACCTACCATTCTCTACCTGTTAAAGTAACGGTGATTGTAATTAAAACAATTTAATTTAAACGAAAAAAAGTTATGTTAGAATATTGAACAAAACGAATTACGTTTCTTATTTTATTTTTTTTGTAATTTTAAAAGACACAAGTTTATATTATTTTAAGTGAAACAACTTTTTTCCCACAAAATTAGGAGAAGAGAAAAGAAAAAAATATTGTGGATAAGAGAATATAAAAAATCAATAAATATGCATTAAAACATGGTGATTTTACTTATAACAACGTAAAGTTGTGTTCTATAAAATGATAAACAAAATCAAATCAAAATTGCATAATTATACATAATTATAATTAAATTTTAATTTAGTATTTTAATAAATATTTTGTATTAATATTTTTTGTTAAATTTATTCATTGGGTCATGAAAAAGTAATAGTTAAATTTAGTTTTATTTTTTAAAAAAAATTGTTAAAAAATCAATTGAGCTGAATTAAATCAAATCAATTAAAATTAATCTCGTATGATGGTCCTCCGATTGGAAACAAACTGAATAATTTACTGAATAATTTAAAGTGTGTGTGATTTTAAAGAATGTAAAGTTGTGTCATTTTAAGAGAGATAAAGAGATAGATAAAAGAGGAGAGAGTTGACAAAAAAAATAAAGGTGTGGGTCCCACTCCTTTGTGAGAGTGAAAAGATATAAATTGTATCATTTAAAAGGATAAACACTTTTCCCATAATTTAAATGTATAAAAACCGATTGATTTGGTTAGGATAATATTTTTTATTTTAAAATCACATCAAACCAGGGAGTCTGGGAATTCCCATTAAAAAGTTTGCAATTTATTATAAATTAAAGGAGTAAGTTAAAAATTGCATGAATGAATCACTAGTGTAATATACTTTGGGAAATATGTCTTTTATGATGTATGTAGATACAAAAACGGGTGAGACCCAATTTTTTTTCTCTTTTCTCTTGAATTTCACCTATCTTTTATGAGGAAGGATATTCGCACTACCAAATTTTTCCACTACCAACTTACTACCTATCTAATCACCATTGAATTAACATTTTCTTGTTATCAAAAAAAAAAAAAAATTAACATTTTCTCTCTCTTCAAAAACTTTTTAACATTCTCTCTCTTTGATCCAATGGTGATTAGATAGGTAGTAAGTTAGTAGTAAAAAATTTTGGTCTCATCTTTTATATATTATATCGGTCAAAATTATCTCAACATCAGAGATATATTCTTCATCTATGTAGCACCCATACTGACATGGAGCACGAGACACGATACGACATGACACTCCGATATGTTGATTCTAAAAAATGTTAGATTTTGTTATAAAAAAAAATGTTAGATTTTGACACGTTAGGACAAGTTTTGACATTAAATATTATTTTTAATTTATGTAATGTATATTATATTTAATACTATAATTTAACAAAAAAATGAAGTTAAACTTATAATACTCGTCAATTTTATAAAGAAACATAAAATATCTCAAATATTTATATTAAACTCAATAAAATGGTAATCGTAATCCAACGAATCTAATAATTGGAACTAAAAACGCAACACCACACAACTTTTAAATCTTTTTTTTGAGTCTCTACAATAAGTATTGAAGTATCGGGGAGTGTCGAATATCGGAGAGTGTCAAAAAATGTCGGACATGACATGTCAAAATTTTTGAAGTGTGGTGCGTATACTTTTAGTGGTCCCCATTTTCTCTAAGTCAGAGGGTCAAGATTTGACTTGACAAATTCAATTAATATTACAGTGTGCATATCGTTCATTGTTTTTAGAAAAATTTTAAAAAATATTTTAAGAATATTTTTAAATTAAATTTAATTATTTTTAGTGAGAAAGTAAGAATGTATTCACCTTTTATTTAATTTAAAGTACATTATAATAATATACCAAACAAAAAAGTACATTATAATATGAATTATTTAAAATTTAAAGATTAATATATATTATTTACTTCAAAACAGTTTCTTTTTCCCTTTTTAAGCAGTGAAACAGCCATATATATTTATTTGTTCTGCAAGAAAAAAATGCATAAGAGTTATATTCTACGTGTATTAGCATATTTAATAGAAGTTATTATTTTAGGGGGATGCATTTTAAACCCACACTAATTAATTTCTTTCCTTTGGGATGCATTCACGTGTTCATCTCTCAAATAAATTTGTTATTACATTAATTAGTTAATTATTTGTTTATACAATAATTACATACATATAAATTCAATAATAAAAAATTTATATTATAATAAATTTCTAATAATAATAATAATAATTACTGTATAACTCTGTTAAGAAATACCATATATAGTTTACCAAAAAAAATATACCATATATATACTATTTCCATTATTTATTATACAGCTACTATATAAATCTCCCATTAGATAAGCATCATCTATCAAATAAAGAATAATATTAAATATAAATTTAATAAAATTATCTAGTAATTGTATTTATCAAAAATATTTATAATATCAATTGAATTTGTTATCCACCTACCATTCTCTACCTGTTAAAGTAACGGTGATTGTAATTAAAACAATTTAATTTAAACGAAAAAAAGTTATGTTAGAATATTGAACAAAACGAATTATGTTTCTTATTTTATTTTTTTTGTAATTTTAAAAGACACAAGTTTATATTATTTTAAGTGAAACAACATTTTTCCCACAAAATTAGGAGAAGAGAAAAGAAGAAAATATTGTGGATAAGAGAATATGAAAAATCAATAAATATGCATTAAAACATGGTGATTTTACTTAGGGGTTTATTGCTCTTCAGTCACAGAAATCACCATTTCTCTTCTGTACATAGAAAAAACGATGGAGCCCACTAAAATATAAAAGCAAAAACAATCAAAAAACAATGCACAAATTTCTATGATGAGAGCAGAAGACAACTTATATTTTCTGCAACCGGAGACTATGATTTTACTTTTACTTATAACAACGTAAAGTTGTGTTCTTAAAATGATAAACAAAATCAAATCAAAATTGCATAATTATATATAATTATAATTAAATTTTAATTTAGTACTTTAATAAATTTTTTGTATTAATATTTTTTGGTAAATTTATTCATTGGGTCATGAAAAAGCAATACTTAAATTTAGTTTTATTTTAAAAAAAAAATTGTTAAAAAACCAATTGAGCTGAATTAAATCAAATCAATTAAAATTAATCTCGTATGATGGTCCTCCGATTGGAAACAAACTGAATAATTTAAATGTATAAAAACTGATTGATTTGGTTAGGATAATATTTTTTTATTTTAAAATCACATCAAACCAGGGAGTCTGGGAATTCCCATTAAAAAGTTTGCAATTTTTTTCTTTGGGAAATATGTCTTTTATGATGTATGTAGATACAAAAATGGGTGAGACCCAATTTTTTTTCTCTTTTTTCGTGAATTTCACCTATTTTTTATATATTATATCAGTCATCACAGACATATTCCTCATCTATGTAACACCGATACTGACACAGAACACGAGACATGACACCCCGACACGTTAATTCTAAAAAATGTTAGATTTTGACACGTTAGGACAAGTTTTGACATTAAATATTATTTTTAATTTATGTAATGTATATTATATTTAATACTATAATTTAACAAAAAAATGAAGTTAAATTTATAATACTCATCAATTTTATAAAGAAACATAAAATATCTCAAATATTTATATTAAACTCAATAAAATGGTAATCGTAATCCAACGAATCTAATAATTGGAACTAAAAACGTAACACAACACAACCTTTAAATCTTTTTTTTGAGTCTCTAAAAATAAGTGTTGAAGTGTCGGGGAGTGTCGAAATGTCGGAGAGTGTCAAAAAATATCGGACATGACACGTCAGAATTTTTGAAGTGTCGGTGCTTCGTAATTCCTCGTATACTTTTTAGTGGTTCCCATTTTCTCTAAGTCAGAGGGTCAAGATTTGACTTGACAAATTCAATTAATATTACAGTGTGCATATCGTTCATTGTTTTTAGAAAATTTTAAAAAAATATTTTAAGAATATTTTTAAATTAAATTTAATTATTTTTAGTGAGAAAGTAAGAATGTATTCACCTTTTATTTAATTTAAAGTACATTATAATAATGTACCAAACAAAAAAATACATTATAATATGAATTATTTAAAATTTAAAGATTAATATATATTATTTACTTCAAAACAGTTTCTTTTTCCCTTTTTAAGCAGTGAAACAGCCATATATATTTATTTGTTCTGCAAGAAAAAATGCATATATGTTGATACGGTAGTCACACACAATTCAACGTTAAGAGTGAAGCCATTCAGAATGGTGGCGTTGCCTGTGATCAAGCTTGGAACGCTTGCACTAAAAAAATTCGGCAAGCCAATTGCCAATTGCCTCACAAAAGAGGCTATATGTCATCCAAAATTCCGTCAGTATATTATCAACTTTGCGGAGGTACTTGTTCTGTTTCTTAATCGCTGTCTTAGATTTGAAACGTTTGTGCTATTCAGAATTTTGACTAGTATACTTTTATGTGAGGTTCACACAGACATAGTGAATTTTACACGATTATGTACCAGGTCAGTCATAGGCTTAAATGGAGAGTGCAAAGACGCATATATAATTATGCTGCTGATGATGTACCAATACAACCTTTGGATGAGGACAAGGTTGTTGGAACAACTGTAGATCTTCTAAAGGAGTTCTTCGTATTCACGGTAATAATCATAACTGGATAACATTGTGTTGATGTGTATGTTTTTATTAATATTTAATTTCTAAACAAAAGTGTTAACTTAAAAAAAAAAATTACATATTCCAGAAGAAAAGAGGGAAAGAAATTTCAATCCTAAAATAATAAACGATTTATTGCAAAATCATGTAATCAAGTGCTTTGATACTACTGTAAGAAATCATAAAATAAGAATTATATAAAATTAGAATACCAAAAAGGTTTAAATTTACTTGTTGAAAACATAATTTTTTGAGTAAATATCTTTTTGGATCCCTAACAAAAAATTCCGTTCCTATTTTAATCTTTTATAAAAAAAAAATTAGTCGATTGGTTCCTATGCAATGCAAAGTGGACTATTTTAGTCTTTTTGAAGGATTAATATGGGTCTTTTTTTAATTTGTGAGGGATCACGATTTCAACTAAATGGGTCCACTTTAAATTTTTCGGGGACCTCGAGACTAATTTTTTTTATAAAGTACTAAAGTGGGAACCGTGTATTTTGTTAGGGAACAAAAAGAATATTTACTCGAAGTTTTTATTTCTTAAAAAGTTTTTTTTTTCTTGCTTGCTCAGGCATTCGGGCATGGTTTGAGAAGCCAAGATCTTCCCCTGCATTTTGTTGATGAAATTTTTAGTTACTGTAAAATCATTACAGCATGACATAATTATTTTACATATATATGAATAATTTTTATGTTTCCTAATTGATAACAAATCAAATCAAAAGGAATTGATTTTCGTGAGAAATTTGAACGAGTTTATCAGTAATAACATATTGAGAAATTATTTATTGTTTATTCTACATATCCACTATGTACATGCAATGGTCTTCCCAGACAATGTCATAGCATGTTGTATATGTGATTTTCCTTCTATTAGGTTGCAGGAGCTATAGTTATCTTTGAAACAAGGAAAAAAGAAGAAAGAAGTAGGCTCAAGGAAAAACGACGCAGACAAGAGAATGATTTACTTAGACAGGATTATGAACTACTTAGACAAGAGCTTAGACAGGACAAGGAACAACGCAGACAAGAGAATGATTTACGTAGACAGGATTATGAACTACTTAGACAAGAGCTTAGACAGGACAAGGAACAACTGAGACAAGAGCTACAGCTTATACAAGAGCTACAACTTAAACAGGAGAATGAACTGCAACTACTTAGACAGGAGTTGCAGGTTGTCTTTTAGCCTTTCTGTCTGTTGTGGATTATGCATTATGAGGGTGGATTATGGATGGATTTCATGGAATCAAAGTATCCTTTAACATGGACACATAAGCATGCTTTATTTCTAAATGCTGTGAATGGTGGTGATTTTAAATTTACAAAATATATGAAATTACTGTTTTCCCATGTAAGCTTAGTTTCACCTACTTATTTATTTGTTTTAATCTTCTTGGTCCTTGACACGATATTACAGTCTCTAAAACTAAGACAAAATGATCATGAGTTCAGTCCTGATTCTATTTTAAATAAAAAAAATTCAGCACAAGGTCGGGTGAACATGTGCATTATTCATGATTCAATCTCAATTCTTGTAAATGGTTGTTTTAAATATATAACCAATCATAAGACTCTGCTTAAGGGAATTGGTCCATGACACGATATAGTGGGTGGATGCAATTGATTAGGGCCAAATTTATTCTCAATCTTAAGGATATGCTCACCTTTTCATTATTTTGTAGGGGACAAATCTAAAGCAGAACTTATTTGAACAAGAGGAAGGTGAACATGAAAAAAAGCTTGAGATTAAACAACTTGCAACATTTGCCGCCTTCATTCTTACGCTAATGCACACCCATGGCAATGAAGGTCAAAAGTCCAAAGTTATCTGATTGTTGCAACAGTCAAGTTCTCCTCTGCTTAGCTTTGGATGGGGTACTACTTGAATTTTTTCGAGCCATATCATTTGATTTGAAAAGAAACATAGTTGCTTTTAAGAATGTGAAACGATCATATTTTAATTTTGGCAAGATACTACATATAAAAGTGTTGAAGTATTTTTCTCATTTTTGTTTTTCTGCCATTCACTTGCTTTTTTGCAGGTTGAGTTTTGAAGCAGTGGTATAAGATTTTCTGCTTGCTTTAAGATTTATGGCCACACATTCTAATCACAGAAAAAGGCTATATTTCAAATGAAAAGGATGTGTACATATAATTGTCCTCAGAGGCCAGCTCCCAGTGGTGGCGTTATCAGAATTGTAATAATTTAAGTTCGATTGCACCATATTGGTTTGAATATAATAATTCATCATGTTATTTGGAATTGGAATCCTTTTTCTTTATAACCGTTTATTTAAATGATTATTGCTGCTACTGCATCATCACAAGTTTGCATTCTACAGTAGAGATAAATTATGCAATTAATTGATCTACCCGAAATTCTATGATCGTCCAAGGAGGTGACAGTATGGTTCATTCTCAATGAGATGAAACTTATAACTTTCAGCATTGATAGAACAATCAATGGGAAGGAATAACATTTCCCCTTCAAAGATTGGTTGGGTTCTGATTTATGTTTCGTATAACTTATTCATTTATGAATAATTATTTTGTAAGTTTATATATATATATATATATATATATATATATATATATATTTTATTTTTTATTTTTATTTTTCAAAATTTCCAATCAGGTCCTTATACTGAAATTTTTGAATCATTTCTTTGTAATTTAAAAAAGCCATGTAATCCAACAATCCCCCCTCCTCCGACATTATTTTGTGGACGGCTCAAACCTGCGAGCTCATTCTGATATCAATTCCTTAGAATTAGATCAAAAGTTATAATTTTATTTTTTTTATCCATATCACTTTTAGAGGGTGTTTGGTTCAGGAGAAAAAAAATTTTACTAGCGAAATGTAATTACAAGGAAAAACATAAAAAAGTAAATTTGGTAGGAAAGTTTTAAAAAAGTTGTCTAGTACCGCAAAATATTACTAGAAAAATTGGATTAAATATGTTGAGTATATGTTTGGTTGAAAATAAAAATTTGATAAAAAAATGAATAGAAATTACGAAAGTAACCCTTTTATAAAATTTTGAATGTTATATGTGGTTAAGAAGAGGGGTATTCTTATCTTTATCTTCATCCACTTTTTCAATATCTTCAGTTTTCCAAAAAATACCATGTTGCAAACAGCATTCTTCTACAGTGTATTTGCACATTCTTTACACGCATTTGTACTTACATGGGCAAGTGTGTTTGATGGATAAATATCATGAAATTTTCAACCAAACAAAGAGAAGACAGAATGGCACGTGCACTTAAACGGGAAAATGTTGAGAACTCCTGAACTAAACATTGCCTAATACATTATATATATGATTGAGAAAAGGTATGTCAGGGACCAATAAACACTATGGGCATAGTAGAGTATGGAATGGTCCACGAGACCGCATAATAGTAGACTAGTAGCCCACGGGCATAGACACGGATACCAGTATACCATTATATATAATTTATGGGTTTGCATTCTATCATTTAATATAATCACAAAAACTTTTCTACACACAAAATATTTTGTGGAACCTGCATGTTTAAAAAAAAAAAAAAATTATGGCACGTAAAACAAATCTCTATAACATAACACAATCATTTTTCCTACAATATAACTCTTATAAAACCCATAGTTTATATCCTCTTGTACTTCATGAAAACTAACCCTTTTGCAGGACTGGTTACTCAAGATTAATGTAAGAAAACTAACCTTTTTTGGGTTTATCATATAGTTGCTAAATCACAAGAGGAAAGACCGAGGAAAGAGTAATTATCATATGTTTTGTGCACTTCTGATGTGTACTAGAATCTAATGTAAATTTTTAATGTTCCATGAGACTTAGGTTTCATTTAGGAGTTTGAAGGGAAAGAGAACGAAGGAGATCCAAGGAGGAAGGAGAGGAGTAGGTGAAGGAAATTAAAGAGTATTCTTTTCTCTTGTTTGGGAGTTAAAAAAATGATTAGAGAGAAAAATGAAGGGTAATGAGATATTTTAATAATTTTAACCTTTTTCAAAAATTAAGATAATTATTATACTTTAAAAATTAAATTAAATTTAAAACTTCTAACAAAATTAATTATGTATTTTTCACACTATTAAAAAAATCATATTTTCGACAAATTTTCTACTTTACAAACAATGAAAATTCCATCAAAAAATTATTTTTCCATCAGTATACTTTTCGTTCAAAGGAGACATGATTTTTTATTAATCGAAAATTTTCACAGAAATAAATTTTTGTCCCAATTTTTGACGGAATTTAGTTATCATCAAAAAATGTAACAAAAATGATTTCTTAAATATTTGGATGGAAAAAAGAATTCCGTTAAATATTTTGACAAAATATTTTTCGTCCAAAATTTTTGATAGAAATGTGTTCCGATGAAAATTTCGATGTATTTTTTTTTTTTGTCAAAAACTTTGAGGAAAATATCCATGTTAAGACTTTCGACGAAATTTAGATTCCATAAAGAATTTTGACAGAATATTTTTTCCATCGAAATTTTTTATAGAAATACCTTTTGTCAAAAAAAATTACGATAATTTATTACGTAAATTAATTTTGATGGAAGTGTGTTCTATTGAAAATTTTGATTGAAAATTTTGACGAAAATTTTTTTTTGTCAAATTTTTTGACAGAAATGTTTCTATCGAAAACTTTTGACGGAATTTCGATTCCGTAAAGAATTTTGATGAAATTTTCTTTCCAACAAATTCTTTACCAAAATGTTTTTCGTCAAAAAAATTTATTGAAATATTTCCCTTCAAAAAATTTCGACATATGTGCTTTTTGTCAAAAAAATTGAGAGAAATGTCTCGAGGAAATTTAGATTCTGAAAAGAAATTTGACAAAAAAAATCGTCGAAATTTGAGAAATATTTTTTGTTAAAAATTGTTACTTAAATACTTTTCGTCAAAAATTTCACTGAAAATGCGTTCCATTGAAAATTTTGATGGAAAAGTTTTTCGTCAAAAATTTTGACGGGAATGTTCCCTTCGAAACTTTCGATGAAATTTAAATTCCGTAAAAAAATTTTACTAAATTGTTTTCCATTAAAAAATTCGACGGAAATGTTTTTTGTCGAAACTTTTTTATGGAAATGTATTTCATCAAAAATTTTAACGGAATTTTTTTTTTTGTGGAAAAGTTTTACGTAAATGTTTCGGCCTAAAGTTTCGACGGAATTTAAATTCTATCAAGAATTTTGAATGAATTTTTTTTTCCTAAAAAATTTATGTCAATGATTATGACAAAATTTTGTTCCGTCCCTAGTCTCGAAGGATTTTTTTTTTTCATCTCTATTTTTACTGTAATATGATTTTTCATCAAAAATTTCATCATTATTTTCAACGAAATATTTTTTGTGTATAAATTATGTCGGTATTTGAGACTTTTCTAATAGTGTCACATTTATGTAATTTTTACATTTTAATGCTAAGGGTAGATAAGTAATTTCCAACAATGGTGATACACCCAAACATCACCTACAATGGTGGTTTTTACTCAAACTTTCCTTAGGAGGTAAAACACTCAAGCTTCTCCCTAGAGATGCCCTCACAAAAACCCTCAAATCTCACAAGCCAACCTCTTTCTTTTCTTTTTCTTCTTTTTCTAACCTACCTCCATCTCACAACTAATGTATTTAGAGGGGAAGGGAGAAGGTTTAGGGTTTAGGATTTTTCAAACCCCTCAATGGGCTTTGGGCTTAGCATTAAGGAGGAAGACCAACAAATCTCCCTCTTCCGACTTTAATGTGTCGACTTCAGCAGTAACCCGACACCTTCATAGAAATCTTCAAATTTCCTTGCTAGTACCGGCTTCTTCATCATGTCGGACCAATTCAGGTTGGTGTGCACTTTGACGAGTTCGAGCTCTCCATCTTCCATCACATCCCGGATCTAGTGATACCTCACATCAATGAGCTTAGTGCGAGAGCGATAAGTCGAATTCTTCGCAAGATGAATTGAGCTTTGATCGTCATGTCCTAGCTCGTACTTGTCTTGATCATGGTCGAGTTCAGAGAGAAACTTCTTCATCCATAACATTTCTTTGCTTGCCTCAGTCGCGACTATATACTCGACCTCGGTCGTCGAAAGTGCCACACATTTCTGTAGTCTTGATTGCCAAGAGATAGCTCTTCTTGCAAAATCCATCATATATCTCGTCATTGACTTTCTCGTGTCGGAATCTCCGCCTAAACAGCATCTGAGTAGCTTACAACTCGGCTTTGCCTTCTCCGAATCAGAGGCACAACTTTTTTCTTCTTCTGAGATACTTGAAAATCCATTTCACTGCTTCCCAATATTCTTTGCCAGGGTTTGATAGATACCAGCTTACCATTCCAACTGAATAAGTCAAGTCGGGTCTCGTACAAACCATTGCATATGTCAAACTTTCGACAGCGGATTGGCACGAGATCTTCAACATCTTGTCTTTGTCTTGATCATATCTTGAACATTGCTTATGGTTCATCTTAATATGTTTGGCTAAGGGGGTGCTCATTGTTTTGACTTTGTCCTTGCTGAATCTCTCCAGAATCTTCTCAATGTAATTTTCTTGAGTCAGCCATAGTAGCTTCTTTTATCTATCTCAGATAATCTTGATTCCGAGTATCTGCTTTGCAGGGCCAAGGTCCTTTATTGCGAAGGACGAGCTCAATGCCTTCTTCAGGGCTGTTATCCTCGATTTGTCGTTCCCTACAATAAGCATGTCATCAACATATAACAACAAAAATAGAAAATCTTCGACCTCATACCTCTTCACAAATACGCAGTGGTCAGCCTCTGTCTTCATAAATTTTTGATCAATCATGAAAGATTCAAACTTCTTAT